TTACTCAGCAATGAAAAATAAGGAAATCATGAAATTTGCAGGTAAATAGTGGGACCTGGAAAGGATCATCCTGAGTGAGTTGTCCCAGAAGCAAAAAGACACGCATGGTATATACTCACTCATATAAACATACAATATAAATTAACCCACTAAAATCTGTACATCTAAACAAACTAAGCAAAAGAGAGGACCCTAACTAAAATGTTCAATCCCCATCCTGAAAGGCAAATGGACATCAGAAGAAAAAGAAAATAGGAAACAACCTCGGAACCTGCTACAGAGGGCCTCTGAAAGCCAGAAGAAAACAGGAAACAACCTTGAAACCTGCCACAGAGGGCCTCTGAAAGCTTCTGCATTATAGACTGTCAAAACAGATGCTGAGCCTGATGGCCAACTGATGGGCAGAGTAAGTGGAATTTTATGTAAGAAGTGGGAAATAGTAAAAGCTGGAGGGGACAGGAACTCCACAAGGAGAGCAACAGAACAAGATAATTTGAACACAGGGAACTTCCCAGAGACTCATACTCCAACCAAGGACTTTCGTGGAGATAACCTAGAACTCCTGCACTGATGTAGCCCATGGCAGTTCATTGTCCAAGTGGGTTACATAGTAATGGGAAGAGGGACTGCCTCTGACATAATCTGATTGGCCTGCTCATTGATCACCTCCCCCTGAGGGGGGAGCAGTCTTACCAGGCCAAGGTAGAGGACAATGCAGCCAATTTTGATGAGAACTGATAGACTAAGATCAGAAAGGAGAGCAGAACCTCCCCTATCAGTGGACTTGGGGAGTGGCATGCATGCATGCAGAAAGGGAAGGGAGGGTGGGATTGGGAGGAGAGGATGGAGGGGCTTATGGGGGGATACAAAATGAATAAAGTGTAATTAATAAAAAATTTAAAAAAAAATAAGTGTTATGTTTTATGATGCTTTGTTACTGGTCAAAGCATCATTCACAAAAGATAACCTTCTCAGGAGTCAATGCCTCTGATTGTCCTCTAAGAACCCTCTAGAGGTATTTACTGCCAGTTCTCTGCTTATCACACATCACAAACAAATATAAGGTTTTTCAGCAATAGAGTACTTGCCTATCATGCATAACATCTTCTCTACTATGCACAAACATTGTATACACATGTAGATTAGTAACTAATTTTAAAAGCATGTGACAGCTATAGCTTAAATATGTTATAGTATATTTTCTTGTGTGAGTTGTATGTTGAGAACAGTCACATCACTCTATTTGATCTACAATGCATACTTTTATTGTTTTTGAGAAGACTTTCCACATTAGATCTTATTATAGTAAAACTTAGTAGTATTGAGGACAGTGTGAATGGAAACATATGTTAAGTGCAAAATTTATATTTGTAATGTTTATAAATTAGTCTTTACCTGTTGTAATCAGGAAGTTATTTTTTAGCTTATTGTATACCTGTAGAATTCCATTCAATTGGATCCCTCAACTAAGAATCTAACTTTAATTAAATATATGTTTAGAATTTTCGGTAAAAAATACAAATATGATTTTACAGGAAATCATACCATTTTTAGCTAAAAATATCTATGTTTATTAGCAGGGCAACTAGAGATAGAATTCTTCAATGCATATAACATAACTAGATTGGTATTCTTAAGATATTTATATACCAATGTCTGTTTATCCAAATCTCCTATTATTAACAGATACTGAGACACATAATTACATGGGAAATGTCAACTTCACAATTGTTACTGAATTTATCCTTTTGAAACTGACAGATCATAATGAACTCAAGGTGTTCCCCTCCATCTTGTTCCTGGTGATCTATATCATCTCCATGACTGGAAATCTGGGAATGTTTCTTCTGATCTACGTAACTCCTAAACTCCACACACCCATGTATTATTTCCTTAGGTCTCTGTCATTTGTGGATGCATGGTAATCTTCAGTATTTGCACCCATATTGCTGATGAACTTTTTTGTTGAGCAAGAGATTATCTCATTACCTGCATGCATTATGCAGTATTTTTTGTTTGCATTAGTGATTACCACAGAAGGAATTTTGCTGGCTGCAATGGCTTATGACTGGCATGTGGCCATTGTAAACTCCTTAAATTATACAGTGGCCATGACTAAAATGGTTTGTGTTGGGCTGGTGCTTGGTTCCTTCCTAGGAGGCATAATAAACTCATTGACACATACAATTGGTTTAATGAAGCTGTCCTTCTGTGAGACAAATGTCATCAATCACTTCTTCTGTGACCTACCTGCCATGTTAGAGCTGTCCTGTTCTGACACCACCATGAATGAGCTCTTGCTTTTGGTATTCTCTGGCATCATTGCAATCACTACACTCTTGATTGTGGTAGTCTTCTACATCTTCATTGTTGCTGCTATCCTGAGAATCCACTCAACAGCAGGCAGACGCAAAGCCTTCTCCACCTGTGCCTTTCATCTGACGGCTGTGACTCTGTTATACGGCTCAGTCAGCTTCAGTTATATTCAACCAAGCTCCAAATACTCCTTAGAACAAGAGAAAGTAGTGTCTGTATTTTATACCCTGGTGGTTCCCATGTTGAACCCACTGATTTATAGCTTAAGAAACAAAGAAGTGAAAGATGCTGTGAAAAGGGCCTTGGAGATGAAATGTTTCCCTTGTTGATTTCAGACTGTTTCTGCCAAAGAGATATGAAATACTGAAAACATTTACAAAGATATACTAAGTTTTATCCCACCAAACCTTCAGGGATTACCGAATTTGATTCATAACATCATAACATCTATATATATATATATATGATGTTATGATATATATATGATATATATATATATCATATATATATATGATATATATATATGTATATATATATACAGGTGGGGCAGCACTCATGGACCTAAAGGACTAAAGGACGCCGGAGCAGGAGATGCTTTTCCGATATTTAAAGTTTAAGTTTCCCTCATCTATGGAGCACCCTTGTAGAGCCTTCCAGTGAATAATTAGATAATAACTGCCTGAAATTTAAGGAACAGGTCTTAAATAAATGGTTTATAATAATGGTTTACAATAATGAAAAAGAATACATTCATGAATATATAAATGTGATATTGTTATAAACTCTGAACCCTAGAGTAGGACTTAGGGTGACTATCTGAAACAGTTGTTAATATTTCCATTTCTTACTCATATAAATATACATATATATAATAAGTTATATATATTAAGTTCAAATATATATATTCTTACATGTCAATAACCGGAATATAAAATAAAATATACAAAGAGAAACTTCTTAAAAATATAAGCATTTTCTTTAACAGTTGTTCAATACACATAAATAAAATATTCTGTAACATAAAGATAAAGGTTCTCAATGAATATACACAATATGTAAGGATGTGTTTGATATTATTTTCTAGGGTGAATCTTTCCCTGAAAGCACATTTATTATCATCCAACTATCAGAAAATTTTACATTTAATCAGAAAAGGAACAACGTAGTCATCATATCATTTCCTAACAGAATTAATCCTGTATTTAAATATAAAGTTTTATGAGATACAGAAATTTAATACAGTAAATGTGGGAAGGGATTTTTTTCTCACAATTTTTTTTCTTTTCTTGTTTTCTTTCTCTCTTTTTTCCTTTTCTTTGTTTTTTTTTTGTAAGCTATTTAGTCTAACTGTACCATGAATTTTCAGTCTTCTGCTACCTCCTCCTCCCCCCCAATAGTCTTCTGCACTCATCCAGCACAGTACTTCCTCATGTTATTTTCTTTAAACACAGCATTCTTCTTCTAGTTTTACTTTTGCTCACACTGTATGTACCATATCCCAGCTTACCATATCCCGAGTTACTCAACCCACCAAGACCTATTTGGTGCCTTCACTGTTGTCCCAGTGTTTTCTCCTCTTTCTCAGATTCAGTGACACTTTCCTCATCCACATTTAACATCTCAACCTACTACTTGCATCTTCCCTAGGACCTTTACCTTATTTAGGACTATAGATTATTTATCCCGTATTATATAGCTAATATCTACTTATAAGTGAGCATATACCATATGTGTCTTTCTGCTTCTGGATAACCTCACTCTTGATGAATTTTTATAGATCCCACAATTTGCATGCAAATATCATGATATCCTTATTACTAATTGCTAAGTAGTATTCATTGTGTAAATTTACCACACTTTCTTTTTCATTGTTTTCTTTTTTAATATATATATATACATATATATATATATAATTTATTCACTTTGTATCTCAGCTGTAGCCCTCTCTCTAATCCCCTCCCAATCCCATCCTTCCTCCCTCATCTCCTCCTATGGCCTTCCCCAAGACCCACAATTTTTTGTATCCATTCCTTCATTGAGGGTCATCCAAATTTTCTGTCAAAGTAACAGATTGATTTCCAAAGTAATTGTACAAGGTTGCATTCACACCAGCACTGGAGGAAGGTTCCCCTTTCTTCATAAGCTCTCCAGCATCCATCATCCCTTGAGTTTTTATTTAAATATTTATTCATTTTTATTTATTACAGTTTATTCACTTTGTATTGCAACTGTAGCCTTCCCACTCATCCTTTCCCAATCCTACCCTACTTCCCTCTTCTCCTCCCATGACCCTTCCCCAGTCCTCTGATAGGGCCCGTCGCAGCTCAGCCTCCAAGTAAGTGGGTTCCCTAGTAATGGGAACAGGGGCTGTCTCTGACATGAACTCAGTGGCTAGCTCCTTGATTACCTCCCCCTTGGGAGGTGCAGCCTTGCCTGGACACAGAGGAAACCAATACAGCCAGCCCTGATGAGACCTTATAGGCTAGGGTCAGACAGAAGGATGTCCCTTGAGTTTCTGATCTTAGCCATTCTGATAGATGTGAGGTGAAATCTCAGGGTTGTTTTGATTTGCATTTCCTGAATAAGAGATTGAACATTTCTTTAATGTTTTTCTACCATTTAATATTCCTCTGTTGAGAATTCTCTGCTTAGCTCTGTACCCATTTTTAATTGGATTACTTGGTTCTTTGGTGTTTAACTTCAGTTTTTATACATTCTGGATATTAGCCCTCTGTCAGATGTAGGATTGGTGATGATCTTTTCCTTCTGTAGATATCTCCATCTCAGATCTCAAGCTGTACTATAGAGCAACAGTAATAAAAACAGCATGGTACTGGCATAGAAACAGACTGCTGGATCAATGGAATTGAATCAAAGACCGAGATATAAACCCACACCCCTATGGGAACTTAATTTTTGACAAAGAAGCCAAAACCATACAATGACAAAAAGACAGCATCTTCAAAAAATGGTGCTAGTCTAACTGGATGTCTACACTAAATCTGTTAGAAGAAAAAGTGGGGAAAAGCCTTTACCTCATTGGCACATGAGACAACTTCTTGAACAGAACACCAACAGCACAGGTTCTGAGATCAACAATTAATAAATTGTTCATGAAACTGAAAATCTTCTGTAAAGCAAAGGACACTGTCATCAGAACAAAATAACAGCAAGTTTTTATATGGATTAATAACCCATTTCTGCTTGGATTTGAAGCCACCTGATCCATAGGAGTCCTATACTATATATATAGTCAAAAATAAAAGATAAAAAAGTTTGAGACATGGGTCATAAAGAAAAATACTGTTTTGTGTTTCTAAATGATTATTTTGTCAATATGTTTTTTTGTATACTTGTGTTTCCATCAACAGATATGTGTTGTTCTCAGTCTTGGTCACAGATGCTTCTTATTATAGTAAGCTATAGTGAATGCAGAAATTATTGACTGGTCAAAATCCCGAGACTATGCAAGTGGGCCTGCTAACGCATAAATAGGACATCTACAAAAACCTGTACCTGAAACTACAATACTAAGAGAACATCAGTAATCAGGCTCAGACAGAACATATGAGAATATAAATATATAAGAATATAAGATGGTAAAGAGAGTTGTGAAATACTATCATCTAGACATGAATGGCCTGGTACACACATGATCTCTCAGGAGCCATGATTAATTTTAGAAGATGTGTACTAACTCATGAAAATTAAATTTTCCAGCATGGGTGGAGAAGAGGCTCTTTGGTCCCCTCCTAGCTAAAGAGCTATTGGGAATTTATTGATTATAAGGAAATGTGTATTGTCTCTTTAGGGGCTAGGATTTCTTTATGAATTTCTGACTGTCCTTGAACTAACTATGTAGACCAAGCTTACCTTGAATTCAAAGATATCCTCTGCTCTCAAATATTGTAATAAAACAACTAACTCTAATTTTCCATAAGTTACCCAATGAAGTAGAAAAGAAATTAACTCTTCAGAATTCTTTTTACTTAGCTAGAAAATTATAGGACAATATAACTGGTTAGTGTAGACAAAACTACTCTTAATAAACCACGTAAAAATTAAATTCAAGTGTACACTAAAAAGATTATCTTAAATGATCAAGTCTGCTTCATTCTAGGAATGCAAGGATGGTTAAATATATGTAAACCCTTAAAGATAACTTAACATGTATAAATAGAGGTAAGAATAAACTCAAATGACTATTTCCTTAAAAGCAAAAAAGACCTTTAAAAAAACTATAAAATTTTTTTGGGGGGGTGAAAATTTGGCATTCTTCAGATATAGGGCAACATATCTCAATATACTAAAGTGAGCACACAACAGCAGGTTAAAGTATAAAACCAAAGTGTGGTAATACATGCCTTTAATGCCAGGATTAGGAGATAGCAAGGTGGATGTCTAGTCTACAAAGTTAGTTCCAGGACAGCCAGGGCTACACAGAGAAACCCTGTCTTGAAAATAAGTAAATGACCAAAACCAAAACAATACAAAAAACAAAGCAGTTGGACCAAAATCAGAAACAAGAGGATACCTATTCCCTCCTTTGTATTCAACGTACTGTTTGAGGTTTTAGGCAGAACAATGAAAAGAAATAATAATCTATCTATTTATATATCTGTGAAATTTTTCATATGTACATATGAACTTTAAAAAAGTATCTTTATTTGTAATTGATATGATTCAATTTTCATCAAAATTTATTCACAAAAACTTAACTATTAAAAATTTATTTGGAAATGCTAAAAACGCAGGATAGCCAAAAGAGTTTTTAAAAATAAAAACCACTGCTGGAGGTATCATTAGCAATATTTTCAAGTACTACTACAGAGCTCTATTCATTCCTCAGCTGAGGGAAACCCAGGTTGTTCTCAGATTCTGGCTATTACGAATAAAGCTGCTATGAACATAGTTGAGCAAATGTCTTTGTTGTATGGTTGAGCATCTTTCGGATATATGCCCTGAGTTTTAGATTGTAGCCATTCTGATGGGTTCTAAGTTAACCTCGCAGCAATTACAAACAAGGATATCATGAAATTTCCAGGCAAATGGATAGAAAAGATCATCCTGAGTGAGGTAACCCAGAAGCAGAAAGACATACAATGTATGTACTCGCTTATAAGTGGATATTAGACATATAATACAGGATAAATATACTAAAATCTATAGTCCTAAAGAAGCTAAATAATAAGGACCAAAGGAAAGGGGCTTAATCCTCATTCAGAAAGACAAACAAGATAGACAGAAGTAGGAGAAAACAAGAAACAGGACAGGAGCCTACCACAGGGGACCTCTGAAAGACTCTACCCATCAGGATAACAAAGCAGAT